TCAATAACTATGTAATCTTTCTCCTTGTTAATTTCTCTTTTTCACTCTTTCCATCTTCCTTATTCTCACAAGACACGCCAAGGTTAGGATCCTCTAATTATTTACCACTTCTAAATGTTATTGCATTAACTCGCTCTCTCAGGTTTGTTTCGATTTTGCTAGGCAACTCCCCGGATTCCTAGGATTCAAAAGAGCTAGCAATTTGACCAATTTGGATCTCAACATTTCTATACATTGTAGTAAGTTGGCACAATCTTCCTCAATCCTCTCAAATCTCTCGGAAGTTGCACTCGCTACGACTATCAATTTTATCATTTGTAGCATTGGCTAGCTTCTCTATCGCAAGCTCCCAGGCAGGCTTAGTCTCCATATTCATAGGCCCTGGTTTGAAATCCTGGGGAGATTTTGTGGTCTTGGTTTGTTGGCTTGGTCCATCCATCCAAAATTTGGATGATTTCTCTATTCCGTTGTATGTGTTTCGGTAAGGATTTGTTGTGGAGACCGATTATAATTACTAACAAACTGTACCTGTTCATTAGTACAACTAAAATCATCATGATTTCCTCCATATATGGTACAACAAGTTACATGCGAACTCGAACTAGAACCAACATTAGTCATATGAGTATTCAACATCTTTACCACATTATCTATCTTGGCATTCAACAAATTTAAACTATCAAGTTCAAACATACCTGCCACCTTTCTAGTGTTACCTCTCTCGTTAGCCCATTAATAATTGTTCGCCAACCATTTCTCTCAATCAATTCATGAGTTTGGGCAGCTGATTTATCCATCAATGCTCCTCCGACTACAGCATTCATATGAGTCTTAGTAGTAAAATTCAATCCATTGTAGAATGTCTGCACAATGAGCCAATATGGAAGACCGTAATATGGACATCTTCGTTATAATTTCCTAAATCACTCCCATGCTTGGTACAAAGATTCTCCCTCCTACTGACAAAAGCTAGTTATATCCATTCTTTTTTTTTTGTCAAAAAAATTGAGAAATATTGAAGATGCGGGGTATCGAACCCCGTACCTCTCGCATGCAAAGCGAGCACTCTACCATGTGAGCTACATCCCTTTGATTAGTTATATCCATTCTTAACTTAGCAGTTTTTTGCTGGTGGGAAATATTTATTTAAAAATAAGCAAGACAAATCTTCCCAACTTGTGAAAGTGTTAGGTGGATGTGAATTCAACTAGACTTTAGCTTTATCCCTCATGAAAATGGAAACAAGCTCAGTTGAATTGCATCTTCACTAACACCATTCATTTTAATGATATCACAAATTTCAATAAACACAGCTATACCAGAGTTAGGATCAACAGTAACATTACCTTTGAATTGAGATTGTTGCACCATTATATTAATGCAGGTTTAATCTCAAGTTGTTAGCATTTTCCGTGGGTCGTCTGAGACTCATTTGCAGGCCATTTCCTCCCGATAATGCAAAATCTCTCAATAATCTTCTATTAGCCTCTTCTGTCATTTGCTCCATTAGGGGAAGTTCAATATTAGTGTCGCCTTCTTGTTGATGCTTCCATGTCTTCTTGTAGTGCACACCTTCTCGTTCTCCTCAAAGTCTTCTCAATTTTTGGGTCTACGGCACAATTGTCTGAAAGGCTCGATACATATACTGCCCAATAGTCAAAAAGATAAATCAGACAACTTTTACCCAATATAAATGCAATTACTTCAACAGAAGCAATCTTTTACACCAAAAATTATATCCAAAATCTCACTACAATCAAATCTAGATTAATAAGAGATCGTTTGGTTCTAAAATTGCCGTGCTCCCCAGCAACGGTGTCAAAATTTTGACGAGATTCCCCTGCACCCTAGTTTTGTTCAATAACTCCCTCGTAGCTACAAGTATATAGGTCGTTTTGCAGTACAAGGAGGTTAAGGTCGCGATCCTTTGAGGAGCACTCACAACTACTCGAATTTAATCCTACTTTATTATCTAGACAAGCAACAATAATGAGGAATAAAAGCTATTCTATATACTAATGTGTAACAACTACAAGTTAATGGATGAACTCAACTAAACACAAGCTCTAGGATATGGAATTAACCAAGTGTTCTTGTCTATAGTTCAAATGAGTGATAAATATTACACAACTTGTCTTGCTAAGGATTTATTCACATAAGGTATCCGAAACTAGCTTTCACGATGAATCGAGTGTCACCTATACATGCATTTCCCTACTTTCGTGGTGAAACAACAAGCATGGTGCTATTAAACTCAAGAATGTATTATACTAGTCTCAACACTACTTTCATGTGCCACGATTCTAAGCTCCATCTAACCTAGTTCCATCATCATCTACCAACTTTCATTGATAAACAACAACTAAATAATTTGTAAATTGTAATCAAGCATTCACAAATGTCCACGCAAGTTTCAGAATGAAAATGAGCTAGCAAGTACAAAGGCAACATTCATCAACTTATCCCAACAAAGATAAGAAATACAAGGCATCATCTACTCCTAGAACAAATATATTAGCTAGACATGAAGAATAAACACATGATGCTTAAATCTTTGATGAATGCCAACATATATCCAACAAAATAAAGAGAAAGGAAGAAGAAAATGCTTATTCAATTGAAGGAACAAGGATCTCCAAGCTCCAAATTCTCGTTCGCCTTCAAAGTGCCAAGATTACATCAAGAGTTTTTGTTAAAAGTCCTATTCTATTCTAGAGAGAGAAAGTACAAGTTCTAGTCTAAGAAAGTTACTCTCCTCCTCTCTTTTAACTTCTTCATATATCTAACAAAAGTGTCTTTTCTCTTCTTTAAGTAGCTTATCTCCCAAAACTCTTCATCCATTCTTTCTTGACATAATTGGATATTGAAAATGACTTAAAGTTGCAAAAAGTGAGAAAAATTGATGCTTTGGACCCAGCTAGCAGCTGTCAAGACGTCCTAGTTGTCACCAAAATGGAGCTGAAAAGTTGGCATCAAGTTGTACAAATTGCACAAATTGGAGATTTTTCCCGCCCAAGTATACAATGCGATATCCGAAGCGAATTTCACTATCCGGTGCCGTATACTACTATACACTCTTCTTCAAAAACTCACTGATGAGTATCTGGTGCGATTATCCAACTTGACTCCTTCTATATAGCATCATATATTTTCTTTGAGACCAGGTATCCGACACCATATATCTTGTCTTCCTGTCACAACCAATTTAGCAGATAAATCTTTTCATTTTCACACAATTTTTCTTACTTTGCTTACTACATCAACTAGTAATCACCTAATCATCAAAATAGTCATTCTCAACATCATTTTAACCCCAATTCAATCACAATCCATCCAAAATATGTACAAAATACTAGGCAAAATATATATTTGTCACTAGTATAGTCTAGGCCATTTCATCATGAGAGTGAGTTTTGATAACATTGGAAATGAACCCCTAGTTGAACAAGAGTAGTAACAAGAGGTAAATCTATTCACTTGTATCTTTTGTTCTATAAGTGGACTCTACACTTCTAGAGTCAAGTATTTAGTGAAATTTTTTCATTGTGTCTTGCAAGCTAATTAGTAGAAAACTTAAGTTGTAAGTAATTACAATTTCTCTTGCTTTTATTAATAGTTGGTTTAAATAATAAAGTAAGTAAGATCTTAGTACTTGTAAAAGTTACTCCTAGTTGAATCGACCCGATATATACTAAACTACTATTGACCTGTATACTTACAGTCAACGGGTATATTTTTGGAATTAAACTTGTACTCATATTTAGAACCCATCAATGCTATCCATCTCTTTTCATTCCAACTCATTTTTAGGACATTGATCCAAACTGAACTTTTCTCCTTTGATAATGGGAGCTGCAATGGAAGAGCAGTGCTACATTCCAAATCTTTCTAAAACGTTTTCAATGTAGTCTTTTGAGATAGACTAAGAATTTTTCTTGTTTTATCTCTATAAATCTCTATGCCAATGACATTGACATAACAGGCTTCACCCATATCCTTCATTTCAAAGTTTTGTGCAAGAAAATGTTTAGTTTCATGCAGCAAACTCATATCATTACTTACAAGAAGAATATCACTATATATAGAATAAAAAGATATATTTGCTCCAATCACTACAAGAAAATTGTTCATCAGTGACAACACAAAGTCATCACAGAACATACAAATATCGTCACAAATACCTTTTATTGACGACTTTTTAATCGTCACAAAGTCGTCACTAAATCCCCGTCGGTAAAAGTAAACAGTGACGACCTAAATGTCTCATTAGTGACGACTTTAAGTAGAGCATTTTTGACAAAAGATCAAGTCGTCAATAAAACACTTCCAGATTGTCGTCACTAATGACAACTATTTAGTGACGACCTAAAATGTCGTCACTAAATAGTTGTCATTAGTGACAACAATCCGGAAGTATTTTATTGACGAATTGACCTTTTGTCAAAAATGCTCTACTTAAGGTCGTCACTAAAAAGCACCGAAAGCCATTGTATATAACTATTTTACTGACAACAATTGTCGTCACAAATTTAGCTTAGATTTAGTGACAGTCTCTGTTATGACAAGGAGTTTTTATTTTCTATTTTATGACAACTTTTTTTTGTCATTAGATAATTTCTCAATAGCTTAATAGTCATAATTTGGCCTGTAATCATTGCTAAATCATTGATTTTAAACAAACCATACAAATAAACATGAACGATTGATAACCAAAAGTATTTGCATTAGATTACATGGTAATAATATAGCATTCTCAAATGCCAAATTCAAGTGTACATTACCCAACTAATGCCTACAAAAATAACATTTGTCCAAAATATCACTTGTACATAAGGTACATTTACAAAAGCAATCACAGTTTAAGAAATTGAAGAACATTTAAATGAACCACTCCATGAGCAAAAGGCAATTTTGTCTTCAACATTCTTCAACCATAACCATAGATATCTTCCAAAAGCTAGTATGAATAGCATTTATCTGTCATAAAAGAGTAAAAGAAGTAGGTAAGGGGAGGAGTACAATAATAAAGAACAAGTAATGAGACTTAGATTATTAAGACAAAAATTACAATTCATTAAGAACCTCATATAATTTGGGCCCACATATTACAACACCAGCAAGAAGTTAGAAATCACAGTCCAATCTATACAAATACTAGGGTCTGCTTCCCACGCAAGGCGTGGGAGCTTGAGACCTGTTAGTAAGGTTCCCTCCCATGCAAAAGCAGTATATATTAGTTGATAAGAGCAGTTAAGTATTGATTGAAAATATCCTTGGTTAACACGCAAAAGCAATATACATTATTAGTTTATAAGAGCAGCTATGTACTGATACAAAAAATGGAGTAACGGCAGTTGATTCTGTAGTGAATATTTTCTCCTGAATGATAGCCTTTGGCTAACATTTTCTATTGAATAATAACTACAGTAGCGCGATGCGAAGGCACGTTAAAAGGCATAAATCAATATATCATGATGCATGCTTTATAGAGGGTTATAGAAACCTAAAAAGCAAAGGATAGCAATAAAGAATAATTAGGTTCTGTCTTCTTTAAAAATTGTTAAATCAATATAACTAAGGCTTTTGCTAAATTTTTACCACATCTTGACATCATCTCTCTTCTAATATACCACAGTACAGATTATCCAAATGTGAATGTTGAAGATCTTGCAATTCTTCGAAACTAATATTTGTTGCACTTAGTAAAATGCTACCAAAATCCTGCAACACAGCTCTTGAAAGAGGGGAAAGAGGAGAAACAAAGTCCGCCTGATATTTGAAGTTAACCAGAAGTTGTAGCGTCAAAGCCCAAAGTGCCCTCAGAAATGTTTATGTGATACCCATTGAAGCAAACCATTATAACAGCAGGGTAATTAAAGCAAAGTCCATGTCCCATGGAATGAATTAAAAAGAACTAAAAGAAAGACACTTACCATGTCATCCTTCGCAAGGAATGCAGTTCCGATGAAGTATACGCAACAAATCAAAGCAGCAGTGACAAAGAGGCTGCATAAATATGATCTAGCTTTTGGATCTGGCATGAGTGAAACCTGAAAAGGCAACAAATTAACTATCAGTACCCTAGAGACAGAAAGGTATCATTTCCATTTAGAGTTAATAAGAAGGTATCGAATTGTAACATCATATACAATTTCTTCAGCTATAACAAAAGTTATCATTGTCAACCCTCCCAAGTAAACTTCAGAGAGTCCAAAAAACCACTCTGGCTCCAAAATTGTTAAGGCCAATAAAAAGTTTCTGAAATCCTCAAAGACAAAGGGGACCATCAAACAAGCATTCAGAAAATGACAATTTTACAATATACTTACAGATGTAGCAATACGTCCCACATTACCAAAGGCAGCATGGCCAATATCCGGGTAAGTCTCGAGCCCAGGTTGACTGTCCAAACAGGAATGCAGGAGAATCCCAGTGTAGTAAGAAACAACAGCAAAGATAAACAGAATTGAGAGCCCAACCCATCCACCTTCTTTGACAGCACAAGTAGTTGAAAGAATTCCAACACCACAAAGAACATTTATGCCTGTGAAAAGTAAATGTACATAATTTTTATGTGTCTTCATTCACCATGAGCACATTAGCAGCTAAATGCAAAGGCAAAATCAGAATTGTCAAGGCCTTCAAACGGTTCTAGATGTTTCATGATAGTTTCTGATTTGATATTTTATTTCATTTTGCAAGGAACTGCAAGGACGAACTTCCTTACATCAGTGAAAAGGGAAAAGGATCAAATGTATAGGTAGAATATATATCTACAGATAGAAGAAAAGGATTTAGAATATTATGCAAGCCATCAAAGTTCTCAGTGAGTGAATAGATTATAGCAAATTTAGGCTTTTCTTTTTAATTTACAGTAAAGCGAGCAAGTTCATATTCCTACATCTAGAAGTTGAATAAGGACAGATTACTGAAGTACGAATCATCAACATTCACGTCAACATACAAGTTAATTATGCAGTTCCTCTGATAAATGCTTCTTTAATATTCCTGCATTTCTATGTAGATTGATGGATGTTCAATCAAATAAACCTACCATTCACCACAGCTTGTCCATATGAACTCTGGCTAGGAAGAGAAACCTCATGTGAGACCTTGGATGATTTCTTGTCAGCAGTTGCTTTTCTTAAGGAAGGCCTCCCTTGAATGGAGGGCAGCAGAGAATGTGAACTACGCCTTTCTGGTGGCCGACGTGCATCTGCTACTGGTGGTAATAGAGGTTTTGCGAAGAAGGGAGTACTTCAGGAGTGTATCTTCTTGTTAATGAATAAGAGATACATGAGCTGCCTAAACATGATAACGTAGGCGTCCCCAGGAAGTTAAGACTTGGAGATGGTACACTACTGTATAAATCGATGGACTGCCTGATACAAGGATATGAGATACCAAGCATTATCAACCAGAGTTTGAACACAGTCCAAGTGAGATGACTAATGTAACCATTTCTCAAATATATAATCCAGTTATGCAAGTTTAAAACAAATTAACAAAGAACCATTGGAATTGATTCTAAATCTTAAAAGCTAAGAGCGAAATTATTTGCAGCTGGTAGAATTGCACATGAGGGAGTGATGGTTGTACTTTTGATCAAACCAGTATTTTTTATCCTCTCCAAAAACAACTGAAAACCGATGCAAATAAGAAACGCTGGTACATGATTGGAGGAGGAGAGTGGATCTCTGGCACTTATTTCAATCAAAATATCTAGCAGACTGTCTAAAAGTTGGTATAGTTCTGGCCAGATGTTATGACACACAAGTTATGGAAATTGGTTCAGTCTTCCAGAATCAGCCGTTCGATGAAAGGTAATATCCAAAATATGGTTTCTACCATTGATAAATGTAGCAAGGACAAATACAACTCCTTCACTTCCAAAGATGGTTCACAGGGATTAACCACCAATCCCTCATGACGAAGGAAAATCTTTTCAATAGAGGCAGTACTCAGCAATATAAGTGCATCCTACCAAGTTCCGCTAAGCTGAAGAAGGATCCAGGGAAGACATAAAATGCTCTGGCCTTTTGATAACATTACATAGCCTACCTTAAGCCCATAGCTATCCTTTACTGATGTTACTGGATCCATTCAAACTCATAAACTATTGATATTCATGGCCGAAACAGAATGAAAAAACTTGAAGAAGCTTCAAAATATGAATGATGAAAGCATTTCAATCCCATTTCTAAATATCTCTCCTAGCCAAAAATGAATAGGTAAAGCTAAATATCTGGTACCATATAAATATAACAGCTTCAAGAAACCAAGTGCTTCACTGCTAAATACAGAATCTGCACAACAAGAACAGAACAAACATAGAGAACACCATAGCTAGATGTAGAAAGAAACAAATATAGATATGTGCGATAAGATGATACTACCTGTAACTTTGAGGCCAAGAGGTGGTGATAGATTTGCTCTCCGGCCTTTCGTCCTCATTATCATTAGAATAACTGCTAGAATCAGAATTATTTCCATCTTCACTATTTTCTTTCTCCAGTGCCTAAAATCATTGCCAGCTGCAAAAAAGCTAAGCTCTTGAGAAGCCTAAAATCAGAACAAAATCCGCTTAGCATCAGAGGCAGCAACTAAAGTACAGAACAAAAGAGAGGGTTGCCCCTCTAGAATTCAACACTTCTATCTGTAACATTATTCAGCAATATAGCAGGTTGTTTACAGAATTTGGAATATTAAACATCTTTTATTGCTAATAACAACAAAGAAAACAAGATTGAGGCAACATTGGGAACATCTTATGTTTCACTTCTCATGGCTATATACTCTCATTCACGGAAAGAAAACAAGATTGACCAAGAAAACCGAAAAGTAGCATGTCGAATTCTCTCCAGCGGTGGATTTGCATATTTACCTTATATATGAAGCTTCATATTAACATACGAATGATGTTGAAAACTCAAAAACAGTGAATAGTATGTTATGCTCTTTCTTGATAAATAGCTAGAGAAAAAAAACTATTTTCCCAATTGTTTTGTCAAATAAAATCAAATTTCTCGACACAAGGGGACATTGATTCCATATTTGGAAAAATATATGCTTTGGACTGGCCAGAGTCTCTCTCAAATTAAAAAAACATAAAATCTCCTCTTTTGGTTCAAGATTTCCGTTCGGGCATTTTATCAAACACTAAATGGGCGTGAAAAACTTCAGCATATTGTGCTCAATTGAGGTTATGACTAGCCCAAAATTTGTTATAAACACGAGATAAATCAGTCCAATCGACACCTAGAGCCTGTATATTCTAAAACCATAAACAATCAACAAGAAAATTGTACTAACAGAGACACGGAAAACATGCTTTGGGAGCTCAGACGTTTGTGCTTGAATGGGAACTGAAGTTCAAAGAGGGAAGACGACTTACAAGGCTTTCTTGGTGAAATTCGCAGGCGGCAATGGATATCCGATGGGTGGTGACGGCTCGGTGAGTTGGAAATCTCCGCTGCTGTTGCTGCTCAAGCCATCCACGGAAGAGGAGCAGGTGGAGAAGAATTTGATGAGAGTCTCGACGTCGTAGCTGTTCTTGCCCTTTTCACCGAGAACAGAAAGGTTGCTGAGGATGAGTTTTTTTTTGGGCTTGGCGCGGATAGAGACGGCGGTAAAGGGGAAGGGCTGTGGTGGAGGCGTTGGCAGAAAAGGCTTGTATTAGAAGTGGGGAGGAGCAGAATGGGAAATGAGGGGTTTTTGTGGAGGATTCGTTTGGGGAAATTGGGGGAATTGAGGACGGAGGGTGAAAGAGAGTGGTGGCAGCCGGCAGCCGGTTGAGTGGTGGGAAATTTGGCAGTGGTGATTGGAAAATTTTATCGGATGATTGAAGCTGAAACCCCATTTCCCTTTTGTGTGTTTTTTCGTTGCTTGTTTCCTCCATTTTTTGCTCAGCCTGCCGCCTGGTTCCTCTTTTCCCTCTGCTTTTCCCAACATTTGAGACCAATCATCATGCTTTTTTTTTATTTTTAATTTGGTTTGAAGCATAGATTTTATTGCTATAGTATTATTCTTTATTTTTTAGTACAAAAACACAAATTTTCATCAATATAGGTGACAAAATTTGTTAATTACATATAAGTGAAAATATACTTTTATAATTTGCAAATATTTTAGCCCTGCAATTTTTTATAATTGCAGCACTAAAATACATCATTAATTGAAAATAACGAAAGTCAAATTCTATGGTTATAACAGACTTTCATTAAAAATAATCAAATGCTATTAATAAGACATTATTGTTAAGTCAAAATCAAAGAAAATTTAGTGATGACATAATGTTATCACTAATTTATTCAAGATTATAATGACAAGGAAAGTCGTCACTAATTAAATTGCTAGTTTTTAATATTGTCAATTGCTAGTTTTTAATACTTTTGTGAAAATATTGATAATGGTTGAGAAAATTTTGTTACATTACTGCAAGTGATAAATGTACTTTTGTTCTTTTTCAAACATTTATTTTAATGTTTAATTTTGTTTAAAACTATTGTACTAGTATAGATTTGCCAGACAAAACTTAAGTTCTCAATAGTTAAAAAATTCATTATAGAGAAAACACAAAGTAGTAGTTGCAAAATGTGTATAAATTACAGATATTTTAATGTGTATAAATTACAGTTTATTTTAATGTTTAATTTTGTTTGAAACTATTTTACTAGTATAGATTTGCAAGACATAGATTTATGGGTAATTTCTTTTTTTTTTTTGCTTTCACATATTTAATTTATGTTAAATACAAAACCTACCAGTTTCCCTTTCATAAAAATATTAGTGCAACACTTTTTGAATTTTACTTACAAACATTTATGTATTTAACATAAATTAAATGATTTAGAGTGAAATGCCCATAAAGAGCAGAATATTTGTTCATGTAATGGAAAAAACCCACAAAGAGTTGGTACTTTATGGGCCATTTCTTTTTTTAAAAAAATTTAATTTATGTTGAAAAGATAACCTGCCAGTTTTCATTTTGTAAGAAATCAGTGTAACACTTTTTGAATTTTACTTACAAACATTTATAAATTTATCATAAATTATATGTTTGAGAGTAAAATGCCGAATAGATAATGCTCATTTGCCCATAAACTACACTCCCTGAAGGCTATTTTGTTAATTACTTTGTAGTACTTTTTATTCCTTTGCTAATACTACTTGGCATGTAGTACAAAGGATAAATCTGGCATAAATTTCTTATTCCATTGATAAAAAGACCTGCCTGCCTTATAACTATTATAATGAAAGATATATCTTTAGAGTTTATAACAAATTATTACTTAAGTTTGAGAAAATTATAAAATATTTATGCATAGTTTATCAAGATACCATTCGCAATTTCCTAATAAAAAAATAGGGGCTAAATTGTAAAAGTTAGGGTGCCATAATAGAAATAATAAAATTGGTGTATTACATATGGGGGTTAAATTGCAAAAGTTAGAGTGCCATAGTAGAATTAATGAAATTGGTGAATTACATATGGGGCTAAATTACAAAAGTTAGGGAGTAATAATAGAATTAAAGAAATCGGTGTACTACATATGGGGCTAAATTGTAAAAGTTAAGGTATTATAATGGAATTAATGGAATTTTTTACAACATTTAGGGCTAAATCGCAAAAGTTAGGGTGGCACAGTAGAATTAATGAAAGTGACTTAGAAATAAGTACTTTAAACAGTGACGATTAATTCTTGTCACTAAATCCGAATCGGTAGAGTGACAGTGACGATATTAGAAGTTGTCACTATATAGATCATTTTAGTGACAACGTTTTTCAAGGTCGTCACTGAAGACTTAGTTGCTTTAAGCAATTATGACAACTTTCCTTGTCGTCACTAAACAACCACGTTTTGTGACAACTTTTGTCGTCACTAGAAAATATTGTCACTAATGACCATATTTCTTGCAGTGTAGTTTGTGACGAAAATAACAGGTCGTCACTAAACATTTAGTTACTTTGATGCAATTGTGACAACTTTAGGTATTGCGACTAAAGAAGCTCCTTTTGTGACGACTTATTGTCATCACTACAAAATGTTGTCACTAATTTTTTTTTTTAGTGATCAGTGACGACAACAAAAAATCGTCAGTAAATAGGCCAAGCAATAGTGATGATGTTCTTAATGTCGTCACTATTGTGTGTTCTAAACACTCCCGCGCTCTTGCTAAATCTTGGCGGGAATTTACTAGTGACGACTTTTTCTAAGTCGTCACAAATGAGTTGGCTCCCATTAGAGGTTTGTGACGAGTTAGAAAGTTGTCAATAAAGGATCTCCTTTTGTGACAACTTTTTTTCATCACAAAAAAAGTTGTCACTGATGACCAATTTTCTTGTAGTGAATTTGTCTTAAGATATATGCATTGGTCAACAATATTCTCTACAAGACTAAATGAAGAGACAACATTATGAAACTTAATATTCCATTGGCGGGAAGCTTGTTTTAGTCTATAGATAGATTTCTTTAACTTGCAAACAAGTTGGTTGTTGTCATTATTGACAAAACCCTCAAGTTGACACATGTATGCCTTTTCTTCAAGATCCCCATTAAGGAACGCCATTTTCATATCCATTTGATTTAATTCTAAATCAAAGTGGGCTACTATTGCCATGATAACATGCAATGAATCCTATTTTGAAATGGGAGAAAAGGTTTCATGGCAGTCAACCCATTGAATCTCTTTTGGTTTTGAACACCTATTTGCAACCCACAATAGAGACCTTTTTGGAATTCAACGAGATCCCATACTTTATTTTTAGCCATTGATTCCATTTCTTCTTTCATGGCATTATACTAAGATGTGGAGTTTTCTCCACTCATGGCTTGTGAAAAATGAACTAAGGCCATCCTTAAGTCCAACATCATAGTCAGACTCTTGAAGATTACTTCATAATCACTAGAAATTGCCGGCCTTTTTAATTCTTGTGGATATTCTAACTCCCACTATTTTATGGGGAGTTTGATTAGAGGGATCAACTATTGTTGATTGTTGTGGCCACTTAGGTGGGGGTTGCTCAACTGGTTGTTCTTCAATATTTTGAATAACAACTAGATCATTTAAAGGTGACATAAGTGCATACTTTACTTCTTCAAATTCCACCTTTTGAGAACCACTCCCACTGATTTTATGCTCCTCAAGAAACTTAGCATTTCTAACTTCAATAATATTTAGAGTGTGTGAAGGACAGTAAAATCTAAACCCTTTAGAGTTAACAGCATAGCCTATGAAAAAATCACTAACTGTACGTTCATCCAATTTCTTAATGTATGGGTTATATAGCCTCACTTGAACTTGACAACCCCATACGTGTAAATGTTTTAAACTAGGTTCCCATCTATTTCAAATTTCAAAAGGCGTCGTAGGGACAGTCTTGGATGGTACCCTATTTAAAATATACACAGTTGTTTTTAAAGTTTCACTCCATAAGAATAAAGATAAACTAGTGCTGCTAAATCATGCTTCTAACCATGTCAATGAGAGTTCGATTTCTCCTTTCGGTTATACCATTTTGTTGTGGTGTGCTAGGCATTGTATATTGAGCAACAATACCTTCTCCTTAAAGAAACTTAGCAAATGGATCGTATGCTTGTCTTTTATCTATGTGCCTTACATAATATTTGCCACCCCTATCTGATTTCACAATTTTGATTTTCTCTTCCTTCTGTTTCTCTACCTCTAGTTTGAAAATTTTAAAAGCATCAAGTGCTTCTAATTTATCAAACAAGAGATAAAGATACATAAATTTTGAATAATCATCTATAATTGAGAACAAAATATCTCTGACCATTTAAGCAAGAGGTAGGAAAAGGCCTACAAATATCTGTGTGTATAATCTCAAGTAATTGAGAACTTCTTTTGGCACATTTTGAGGTCTTGTTAGTCTGCTTACCATTTATGCAGACTACCGAGTACCAAAGTCAGTGAAATTTAAAGTTTCTAGGACTCCATCATTCACTAACCTTTTCATTCTATCAATAGGGATATATCCCAATCTCCTATGCCAAAGTTTTAGAGAGTTCTCACTGATAATACTGCATTTAGTACTAGTAACCATGCATTGTTAAAAGGCTATATTCGTATGTGGAGTGTAACTCAAGTTTAATAACATTCCATCCAATTTGGCAGAACCAATAATTTTATTATTTTTCAAAAAGATTCATAGTTGAAAGATGAGAATTGGAATCATATCTAATAATAGATAGTCTTGAAAGAGAAATTAAATTTTTAGAAAAGGATGGAACATAAAAGATATTTTCAAGATCTAATTGAAAATCGGTATTTAAAATAAGTCTATAGGTCCCTATGCCTTCAACAGATGAATGCATCTAATTTCCAAAATAGATGATTTGTTCACTTCCCAATGGCTTCCTTAGGTTCAGAAAGCCCTGCATGGTTTTGGAAATGTGAATTGCCAAACCACAATCAATCCACCAAACATTATCAGAAACTTCAGTGAAGTTAGATTACTAACACACGAAGGTGAGATTACCTTTCTTTTCGAGCCACTTTTTGTACTTGAGGCAATCTTTCTTCCAATGCCTTTTCTTCTTGTAAAAACTGTATATTTCTTTATTTGCTATCTTTTTTCATAGGAACACTCTTGCGTTTTCCTTTCTTTGCATTTCCTTTGCCATGAGTCACAAGACGAACACTTTTTGGTGTCTCATATTTCAATCTCTCCTCCTCCTGAACACACATGGTCATGAGTTCATTAATTGACCATTCTTCTTTATGTGTATTATAAGAGATCTTAAATGTAGTATATTCCGATGGAATAGAGTTGAGAATGAAATGTACAAGAAATGACTCAAAAATCTCAACTTTAAGGGACTTTAGTTTGGTTGCAATATCTCTCATTTTTATAATGTGCTCGCACACACTCCTACTTTTGTCAAGTGTCATGCTTGCAAATTTCTTCATAATGGTGCTATCCAAATCCTTGTCAGAGTTTACAAATTGTTCATCAATTGCTTTCATGTAAACTTTGACTCGGTCACAATCAGGGATTGAACCCCTATTAGTTTGACTGATGTGTGACTTGATGAGCATCAAGCTTAGGCGATTAGATCGCTCTCACTACTCATAAGTAGCCTTTTTCATTTGACAAACTAGAATATGTGGGAATGGGTTGTTCATTCTCACAAAGCACCAAATTAAGATCCATGCACCCTAATGTTAGAAGAATCTTGTCCTTCCATTCGATGTAGTTTCACCGGATAGCATTGAAATATGAGATGAATTATTAAAAAGTAATGGTAGAAAAAATTGAAATATCCAAGAATAAACATACATTATTGCTATGAAATTTAAGACATAAGGATTGAATTAACCAATGTTAATTCAAATAATAAATTCAAACCTTAGCTTCCTGTGGGTAGAGGGTGCCAAACATGCATTGAATTTACTTTCTTTCTAACAAGACTAGTAAATTTAAACTATAAAAATAGAAAATTTTCATACATATGGTTTTAGAAAAATCTCTTAACACAATGTTAAATTTACTATCTTATTTCAATTAATCTTATTAAAACTACCATTTTCCTACTGCCCAAGTGGTAATTTTAACAAATTAATTGCTTACTTAATTAGATGTTATTCATTTAATTACTAGACATTTATGTGATTAAAATTCTAAGTATCAAGCATATAAGATGCTATGGCCACTCTTAAATACAAGATGCAAAAATCTTTATGATAGCATCAAAATAGGTGACAAAAATGAAAGGTTGATAGATGTCACAAATTATACTTTTAAATAATTATGCAAAAGTGCAGCAAACAAACAAACCGCTGATGCCAATTATTAATCACAATTTCAAGAGGCATGGAGTCATTTAAGTAGAACTCATAAATGCCCCAAAAGCAAAGTTTAACCTATATGATATTTTAGCATACATGATGCAAAGTCAAAAGGCATAAGTATACTAACCATTATTCATGCAAGACATAATTAACTATGTTGTCATATACAAGCATAACCAAATGAAGATCAAATGTCATACTAACGATATATGTATGATACATACTTGAATGACCAAATAAATCATCACAAGGATGATACATATACATGGGATTAACCATTAATTCTCAATCATTGAGATAATGGGTACATAGATCCATGACAAATTGGATTTGATTCATTAATAATAAATGAATCTATGTAGCTCTTCTCATTGCCAACAAACCATGAAGTTATATGTTAAATAACATGGTTAGAGGCTGGCTTTGATACCACATGTAAACCAAATAATTACAAACAAATTGTACTAAGCAGTAGAAATTTAAATGATTTATCTCTAGTCATTGTTGTTGAACAGAGATTAATCCTTACAACTCCCTTATCTTCTTGCCTCATTCTTGTCTATGTGGACAAAAAAACTATGTAGATGTGTAGAAGAAGAGAAAAGTAGAAGAAGAATTTAGAGTAAGGATCTTCTAATCCATACCTAACGAAAAAATGTACAATTGATGAAATACTACAGGCTTTTTATAGGTTAGGTTAGAATCAATCATGTAGGTCGTAATTGCCAAAGGAGGCAAGCCTTACAAAACATTCCAACCATTGACCTTGAGGAAGCTGCAGGCTTGAACAAGCTGAAATCATTGGGCAGATTATGAAAGCAAGCCAAGAATTTGGATTCTTTCAGGTTCATAGCACTGGTTATGTTTGAACTGAAAAACTAAACATAATCCTTGATGGTGATTGTCTAAGACCATCATTTGGGACGCATTATCAATCTTGCTACTCATAAGTAAATGCTGTTAGTTCAGGTCATTAATCATGGAGTTTCTGAAGGCTTAATGGAGGAGACAATGAATGTTATCCAGGAGTTCTTTAGGCTGCCAGGCTTTTACTCCAACGACAACGACATCAGCCAAATCTGCAGAATCTTCTCAAGCACTCTAAATTATCACAAACAAGATTTTCACTACTAGAGTGATAATGTCACACACAGCTGCCATCCTGTGGAGGATCATATTCAATCATTGCCTGAAAAGCCTACCAGATGTCGGTAAACCCTCTACGTATGACCCAACTTATTTAAATAAGAATGAAGCCAGGAATTCCGTTACAATGATTAGCACCACAATTCATACAACCTTTTTTCAGGGATGTCATAAGTACATATTGTGTTGAAGCACAAAATTTCTCTTGAGGATTTCGGATCTGATTTGTGAAGGATTGGGACTCATAGGCTACTTTGAAGATGAGCTAACCAAAGTTCAGCTGTTCTTAGACTGGGAATGCCAGAACACTATGATCTTGATCTCATAATTATGCTTCATCAAGGCACAATACCTGGACTTCAGTTCTTCAAGAAAGAAAACAGTGGGTTGGTGTTGAACCTTAGCCTAATGCATTAATCATCATTTGTGGTCTCCTATTGAATGTACGTATTATTCTGAAGCTCATTGAACTATAATTCTTGCCAATAATCATGTATACCCCCTGCTAGGTATCCATCTCTTTTGTAAATGGTACGGTAATCAGTAATGATTTGTTCACAAGTCCTAAACATCGAGTGGTAACAAACACAAAAGCTTGAACAACCATCGCA